AGGGCTCCAAAAGTTATCCCCCTGAACACGTGGCATGATGAGAGTGACTTGGGATTTATCGCCTATCGAGCTCTTAGTTCCTGAGCTGGTCTATTCCACCGAACTTAAGATGACCGAGCAGGCATATCGATCTAGATGTCATTGAACTTTCTTCCTTGGGTTGTGGCCCACTCTTATGACGGAGCGGGCATGCTGTGAATGAGCCGTTTAAATTGTCATATAACCAGGGGGGCCTATTGGGTGTTTTGTGCTTCGAATGGACCGTCCAAGCCGAAATCCATCATCATCAGTATTCAAGTACTGCCTCGTTTGGTCGTCTTCAATCTCGACTACACTCTCTGGCCTTTTTACTTGTAAACCAATTATGATATGCATAATTTGTTCCCCTCTCCTTATCCATGCTTTTTTTTCCTTTTCTTTTTGCATATTAGAGAAGAATATATCGTAAAATCTATAAGTTTTAATATGGTTGAACGAAAAACTAGTCGTAAATCCATTGAATTCATTTTTCTATAGTCACAGAAATTCTAGATTGAACCAATGCATCATGCACTTGGTTTACTGAAAACGATACTTGTTGGGAAGATTTTTATCCAAAAAAAATTGTAAAAAGCAAAATGGTTGTGGCAAACCAAATCTAATTACTACATGGGTGTTCGAAATCTCAATCATTTTGCAGATTTGGTGAGCAATCTCAATTGATGGGTGGGAAAAATAAAAATAATGCATGGGCTCAAGCTGACTCGACAATGGGACGGGACCAAAAAGGGATGGGTATGGTGCAGCTCAAAGCAGTGGTCAGGTGACAAGTTCCTTACAAGAGAAGACAATGTTTTATATAAAGAAATAAAGCCCCATGGTAATGGTTTCCTTTCTTGTAGGCTCTCTGTGTTACAATAATGCTATTTATGTGTCATATAAATATTTATTACTTACTGAAAAAAAAATATTTAATTTTAAAAAACAATCGTAAATTTGGTTAATGAATTGCATCAGATGAATGGATTTTAATTGCACCAGCTTTCATGTAAATCTTTATAATATAAAAGAGAACGGTTTCAACAAGTTCATCTTACGATTTCAAATTTATTTATTTGACGGTCAAAAAATTACCATTTTTTCTTTCTAACTGGTCAATGATTACAACTGATCTTAGAACACATCTTACGGTCTCAAATTCATTTATTCTAGCGGTCAAAAAATTATCATTTTTTTCCTTAATATTTTTCCTCCCAATCGGTCAACGATTACAACTGATCTTAGAACACATGATTTTCTTTGACATAATAATTAAATGGATTAAATTTGCTATTAAAATTATCTGTGTAGTGTAACATTTTGAATAAAAAAACTCAACAATTTAACAAATAAAAAAAAATAAGGGCGTTGCTTAACACATTTATATTAAATATAATTAATTTTAATTTTATTTATTTAATTGATTATTTCAAACTAACATGTCTTACGCATATCTTGAATTAAAAATTCAAGACTAATTTTTTTATCTCTTAAGAAAATTCAACGCTATTATATTCTTATAAATTAATAATTTTGTAATAACTTGTACTATTTAAAAAAATAATATTCTATAAATGATATTTGTAGCTTTTTTTTTATAAAAAACATTTTGGTGATATGTTCTTTAATAAATTAGAATTTTAGTTTTTATTAAATTTGATTCGATTTTGATTACAGGTATATAAATTAATATTCGATTTTGATTACATGTATATATAAATTAATATTTTTTTAAGTCAATTCTATCATATTTCGTAAATTTATCTATAATACCTACAATATAAAACAAGACGGCTGCAACAAGTTTATCTGATAGTATCAAATAAACTCATCTAATGACCACCAACATCTCTCTCAAAATTATTCAGATTGAATTTTATTTTCCTTTTCTCACTCTTCACTCTCTCTCTAGGGCAATGGCAAAAGGAGGAAGGGCTTGGGGCCACCCTAAAAAAAAATATTTTTTTGGATTAATTGGGCCCACTGTAATGATTTATAAAAAGAAAATTAATTGGGTCAAACAAGTTAAGTACTATAACAAAAAAAATCAAAAAAAAAAAAGTCCATACCAAATCTCTTTTTTTTCTTTTTTCTTTTTTTCTACTTTTTCTACACCAAATCTCTTAAAATTAACAAATCTCTTAAAAATAACAAACTAAAATTAATTATTTAGAGTGTTAGTATGATTTGTTGAAACCTTATTTGGTTAAAAAATTAAGGAATATATAGCCAAAAATGAGTAAAATATGAAATTTGTAAGAAGATTAAAAATTATAGAATATTGTTTGTATTTGTGTCAAACAAATTATATAATTGATCCTTGATATATAGATTTTATCTTATTAATTTTTTTTTTCAAACAAACCCCTTCTATGTTAAATGAATTTTTAAGTATCAAATCCGATATAAAAATATCTCATTAGTTTTATCTATTATATTTAAAGTGTGTCCACTCTAGATCATATTTTTAGTTCCGCCACTGTTCTTAGGGATCTTCACTCATCACTTCTCAAAATTAATTGGTTAGTTTATATTGCACCGTGTTTTCAGGTACGAGTTATCCCTAGTTTGTAATATAAAAAGAGAACACGTTTTAATAATTCATTCGACGGTTTAAAATAAACTCATCTATCAGGTACTAACATCTCTTTCAAATCTATTCACATTGAATTTTCCTTCCTCTCAAATCTATCACTTCTTATATATTGCCCCGTTCCTTCAAATTCAAATTAACCATGTTATTTAATATTTGAAACAACTATTATAGTGACATTCTTTGTGGTATGCAATAATTGCATTGTACCAGATGTTTTGTACTCCCAATTTTCTCATTCATAATTGTTAAATCACGATTCGTATAAAAAATTGAAATCTTAAATTTAAGAATTGTAAATCGTAAGATTCAATATAAAATTTGAACAAAAATAAAAAAAAAAAATATTTATATATTTAAAATAGGTAATATATTGAATATTAAATATTATTGGATTTTAAAAATAAATAATTGATATAATCACGTTGTTTAAATGGAAAGACGCTACACTTTTGTTTTATTTTCATCTTTTTTTTAACCATTTTGAAATTCAACAATTTGAAAAAAAAAATCAATAAAAAACCATGATTATTCAATAATCAAAACAATGACACCCGCTATAGATTAGATTACAAATATGAATAAAAATAAACAAATAAGAAAATTAATTGGGAGAGACATACATGTCAACATTTTGAAATAAAAAAATTAGAATATAACAAACAACACATGAAAAAATTAAGAGCAAAAATCAACCGATGATGTGAGAGTTTTAGTCATGACTTTGAGTTTTAGACAACACAAGACGAACTTTAGACAACGAAAGAGAGAAAGAGATAACAAGTAAAGAGGCTAAGTTTTTATTAGCGGATAAAACAACATTATTTTGCAAAAAATTTGAGTTTTCAAAAAAAAAAAAAAGTGATTAGATTGTACAATACAAATTGAATTGTACAATTCAGGTGCAATTCAATTATAAAAATAATTCTCTTATAAGATACAAATCATTTTTTGTCTGTATCGCAATTGAATCATACAACTTGAATCGCAAACCTTACAATTTTGATAACTATGATCTAATCTATGAAATATTATTCAGAATTTTTAAATTCAATTAAATAGCATTTCAAGACTTTCTTTTCTATATTTGCGAGGATTAGCTATTGCGACCGTAATAATTTGGGTGAACTATATTTTATATCTTAATTTTTTTTTAAGGTTCTCACTTTTACACTATTAATGCATAAAAAATGATGCCAAAAAACCACCCAAAAAACCATAGTCCACCGTCATGAATGCTCGTCACCACCAAATCAACCACCACCCAAATCCACCCCATACGAACGCCCCCCAAATTCAAAATTTTCACCCACCACAACTTCACAGCTAATGGACTCCATTTTCATTCGAGCTTTCCCTCTGTCTTTCATGTTCACGGTATGGTTTGATTTGATGATGTTTGTTGTTGTGGGTTGGTGCGGTTGGAGAGAATTGGAGGTTGGTGGTTCAGTCATGGGGTGGGGTTCTGATTTGGGCACGGCGGAGAGGGGACAGAATGGAGCTCAAACCGGAGATTGGTGGTGGTGGTTTCTAAATAGAGCAATGTTATACTGACCAAATTTTGAGTCCAAATGACATGACAATTAATTATTTAAAATTTTAATTAGGGCCTAAATGACATCATACCGATCAAAGAAGCCCAAGTCATGTGCCATGTCATTTGAACTCTAAATTTACTCTCAAAATTTGATCAGTCTAACATTACTGTTCTAATATCCAATGCAATAGTGATACTAAATTAAAAATATGTTATTTAAAGATATGTTATTTAAGGACAAACCGAGTATACGAAATTAATCCATACACGTGTTCATGATTTTCAAGGGTGGGTCTTGACATGGGGGTACGTGTACATGATTTCCGGTGTCATTGAATGAATTATCATAGTGCTTTTGCAAGTAAAACTACCATATGAAAACTCGGGATTAATTTATGTGTATGATTTAGAGGTAATTTAGTGCATCCAAGTTTTTTTTTTTTGAGCAATGCATTCTAACTAACAAAAGGAGAACCAATTGGGCCTCTCTTATTACTCTCAACCGGGAGGTCTATTTTAAAGGTTGTATTCTACTCCTCTTTGTCCAACTCTTTGGGGGTTCTATTTAGCTCTTCTTTTGTGTTTGTGATTCATTTAGACTTCATTGATATAATTAACGGGATTGTGATTCATTCATACTATTATTGTAATAGTGATATAGGGGACTTGTAAATTGTAATAAAGATTAATCGTTGTATGAGAAAAAAAAATTTCAGAAAGGGCATGGTCAGAACATTTTCCATTAGCTATAAATAAACTGTGCATGAGAATTTTATTTGCTTTATAACTACTTATAGGTGGTGGACTGGTACGTGCATTGGATAGAAGCTGACCTTTGCCAGAGATAGGTTGATGGAGAATTTCGTTTGGACAGTGGGAGTAATCTTCGAACCTCAATATGGATATTGTCGGAGGATGTTAACGAAGGTGAATGCGTTAATAACAACAATTGATGATGTGTACGATGTTTATGGCACCTTGGATGAACTTAAGCTCTTTACTAACGCTGTGGAAAGGTTAGTATGATGGTAGTGTAAATTCATGTTTAACACCTATGAATGATACATGTCTGTGACGTAAACCTTAACCCAAAATTAATGGTTCAGAGTTAATTAGTTCTCAGTACAAGATCAAAATTGACAAAATACGAGTCACAAACTGGCCAAGTTAGTGTTAAATACCTAATATCCCAATTTTGACATGCCAGTTTTATTTACTGGTATTGTATGAATAAAAATGTATGGTCTTTTTTATGTGTAGAATTAAAGGGTTTTATAGTAGACTTGTGGGCTGTGGATTTAGTCAAAACAGAGGAGGTCCTCGTCGGTGTTTCTGATGCATTGGTTGTGTGTCCATTTGGACATGATATGATTAATAAATAGGTCGGTTTCGTGTTTGATTATCCAACAAGATTAATTGAACAGATTGGGTCACAAGTACGCGTCACAGATCAGAAATAAAACAACTTAAGCATGATATGATATGACTCAATTGATGTTCTTATCTAGACTCTTCATCAGCTTCTTAAGGGGGTTTGTCTGAATATTGTGTTTCTGTATATGATTCAGATGGGACATTAATGCAATGGAGCAGCTTCCAGAGTACATGCAAATATGCTTCCTTGCCCTCTACGACTCCATTAATGAAATGGCTGATGATGCTCTTAAAGAACAAGGCGTTCACGTCATTCCCTACCTAAGAAAGGCGGTTTGTTTCTTTATATTTGTTTGGTCATCAGGTTGACTATCTATTTTGATGTAGCCACTGTCATGATTTACTAGGGGTTGCAATTTTTCAACTGGACATGTTAGTAGGACATGAATAATAACTGGTCGGATTAGTTTCAAGAATACATAATTTGATTTTGACACAACAAAATTGTTTAATTCGTATGAAATGAAGAAAATAAGAATTTTTTGACCAAATATCAAATGAATCCATGTAAAAACAGAGACTTTTTTATTTGGTTTTGCTTGCATATGGGTTGATTTAAATTTTTAATTAATGGGTGACATATGAGTGGTAGGTTTTAGGTGAAAAGAAAAGAGACCTTAGTCATGAGTTTTGGTTTACAGATTATGCGTATCGATTCTAACATAACAATATAATTAAAGAGGTTGGGTTAGTGTCATTGTGTCCGAACATGTGGCATGCTTAATTAGGGAACTTGGATTATTTTTGTCCACAAAGTTAAAATAATACAATTCAAACACGGCAAGACGTGATTTGATAACATTGTGATTTACTATGCACTTTTAATGTTACAGTGGGCAGACTTATGCAAAACTTACTTACAAGAGGTAACGTGGTACGTGAATGGATATACACCTACCTTGGAAGAATACTTGGACAATGCATGGATTTCAATATCAGCCCCAGTAATACTAGTACATGCTTATTTCTTTGTTTCAAGTGCGGTAACAATAGAGGCCTTGGAATGCTTGGACAAGTATCATGACATAATCCGCTGGTCATCAATGATTTTAAGACTTGCAAATGATTTAGGGGCATCATCGGTATGCATCCCCTGCTCTTATCTATGTTTGTCAATAGATCAGAATTCAATTGATTTGAAAACTCTTATTAAAATCCAATAGGGATATTCAAATTCTAGTCACTAAATGAGTGTTGTTCATGTCACCTAGGCTCACCCTTAACTTCACTTGTTTCACACACACACACACTCACTCACACACACACACACACACAGATATATATATATATATATATATATATATATATATATATATATTATGTATTGTCATTTCTTTTTCATTGTCTAGGATGAGATGAAAAGAGGGGATGTGCCTAAATCAATTCAACGTTACATGAATCAGACTGGGGCTTCCAAAGAAGAAGCTCGCAAACACATAAGATTCTTGATCAGAGAGACACGGAAGAAAATGAATGTAGCTCGAGTTGCAGACTCACCTTTCTCTCAAACTTTCATTGGAATGGCAGTGAACCTCGGCATGATGGACCAGTGCATGTACCAACATGGAGATGGGCATGTTTCTCAAAGTAGCGTGACCAAGGATCGCATATTAGCATTGCTTGTTGAGCCTATTACTCTTCTATAAACAAATAAAAGTGTTGGAGGTTGGCGAATGAGGCGGTGAAGGTGATGGGATTATTTCAAGTACTGCCTCATTTGGTCGTCTTTAATTATCACTGTACCTCTAGAAGTTACAGACGGTTTTAAGATGATTTCAGGCAATGGAAAGAGGAAAAAGGATAAGAAAATTCCTGTAAAACAAGGAAAGGTTGGTCCCTTGGGGGTAGCTAGTTCCTCTAATCATCCGCCTCTGAGTAATTTAGTAGGGACCTGTGAAACTCGTGAAAATTTGAACTTTTTCTTAGAAAAGGCAGAGTGGTAATTTGTCATCTTAATGTGTATTTAAAATACTCATGTTCTAGACATCGAATGAGGAAACGGAGTTCACCATTGGATTCGTATCACAAAATCTAGTTACCCTGTCAAATTTCGTCGAATTTTGAGATAGTCGAATTTTTGCATGTCGTTCGAGGCGACTGCGAGACAAATGACATTTTAAAGGTCCCCAAAAATGAGTTTTTTTAAAAATTGAATTAAAGTTCCAATAAAATTAATTTGAACTAAATCCGAGGTATAACGAATCGTTTCGGAACGAAAATTGGACCTGGAAGTCGGAATTATGCGGTGCAATTTGGACCACACATTAAGGGGGTGTAAATAGGGGTAAATATCTGAAAAATCAGATATTTTCACCCTCATTTTGAGTCTTGTTTGGCCTTCCATAGAGAGGAAAGAAAAGAGAAGAAAAACTCAAATTCTTCAAGCTTTCTACCTCAGATCTTTGAAATTCCGTCGCTCGAATCAACTCGGACCAACAGCTAAAGTTCATCTCCTCGATGAGGGTTACGCGTACGTACCAAAAAGAGTGGGTTTCACCGAAGATCCAAGAGAAGACTTTAGGAAAAATCAAAGTTTTGAGGTTGTTTTGGTGTTATAGAAGTTCTCTACACTTCTATTGAGGTAGGGTTGTTCTTATCTTGGTTTTATTCCTCTCCTTTAGGGCTGTTTTAGGGCCGGTTTAGGGGCTGAAAATATGGACTGTTATGGACTATTTTGGGGTTGAAATGATGGAGCATTTTGGGTTAAAATATGGACTGCTATGTGGTTGTATTTTGGACTGAATTTGGGATTGTTTTATGGCCTGTTTAGGGGCTGTTTTGTGGCCGAATTTGGAACTGTTTTATGGCATGTTTAGGGGCTGTTTTGTGGCTGAATTTGGGACTGTTTTATGGTATGTTTAGTGGCTGTGGCTGAATTTGAGACTGTTTTATGGCCTGTTGAGGGGCTGTTTTGTGGCTGAATTTGGGGCAGTTTTATGGCCTATATAGGGGTTGTTTTGTGGCTTATATAAGGGCCGTTATGTGGGCTATTACATGAGCTATTTTGTGTTATATTGCACCTTTGTGATCAAGTGTATTATTGGCATAAAAATTGTGATAACATGCTTGGAATTGTGTTATGAAAATTGTCAATGTATGTACATGCTTCTGTTATATTGACATTGTAGAGAATAATGAGAATTATAAGCATATGATATAATTTTGCCATGGAATATGTAAAATGTATTGATATTGTTCATATGTCTTTCATAGCATATTGAATATGTTATAATTGTGCAATGAGACATCATATTACATATGCACGGTAACATCGCATCATGTGGGTGTGTGCATAGTTGTCGTCAACACCACATTTGGTGGATGATGAATGGACTCCATTAAGCTTGGTCGAAGACTTGGCCGAATCGCACAGGTTGCATGGTGATTAGGGTTAGGGTTAGCAAAGAGGGACTAAAAGATCCCTCGGGTGCAAGGCCTAGTGATTGAGATACACACTACCTTAGCTTGGCCCATGAAGTGTGTGGGCGTACGCGGAACCCTTGGTAGAAGTCCATAAATTTCGAGTAGGTTGGAGACCCTTAGTATAAACCCATGAACATCCATCTCATACAAAGACCCTAGGTTGGTAAAAGTCATTTGATGTGCAACATAAATGACAATTCCATACACATTAACACTTGCATGTGTTGAAGAGCTGGGAAGGGCTCGGGTTGATTTGCATGAGTGAGTTTCATCTCATTTTATGACATGACATGATAAATTCCATCATTGAATGCATATTCTTACTTGGGATATTGATGTGAATATGAAATGTTGTATGTGAGCATTACATGTGCACTTAGATGGGGAGTAGCCTCTGTAGAAATTACTCTACTGAGCGTGGCTCACCCAATACGGAAAAACATTTTAGGTTCTGGATACACACCGGTGGACGGCCCTCAGTTGGATCCTCAAGAGTGAAGAGAGGTCGGATTGTGGCTTTTAACCTTGGTTTATGTAAAACTATGTTTTGGGCATGTAATGAGTAAAAAAATTGTAACTGAGTTTATATGGGCTGTTTTAATATAATGATGCATCTGTTATTTGAGTATGGATAAATGGACCCGGTGTGGTCAAGTTTTACTTATAAATGGACCCGGTATGGTCATTGTGTTATATTGGGCATCAAATGGGTCTTGTTAATATATATTGCACAGGTTGTGTTTCGGGTAGAGCTCTCGTACAAAGAAGAGACTCTGTCCGAATTTTGTTAAATTAAGGACCCCGATAAATGGGTCATAACGGCGAGATATCGAGTTATGCGGTATCCAAGGGTATTCCGCGGGTTGATGGGTAATCAATGGACCCTGAAATTTTGGGGCGTCACAGGACCTATCACCCCTCTATAGAATTGGCTGGTTTAAAGTGATATGTGTATCTCTATAGAATGGCCTGGCTTAAAGTGATATATATCTAGCTTATGGCTGCAACAATGGATATTCATGTTAAAGTATATAGTTTTATGATGGAATCTTTGGCCGAGGCTCCAATCAATGGCTCTCATGCCTTTGTTTTTCAAGTGTGAAAAAAAAAATACTTTGTTTGATGGCAAATTTGATGCACTATATACAATGAATAAAAAAAAATTGAATCAAAGATTGGATATATGCTGTTTTCCCTACTTTTCGGCTGTGTTTTCGAATGTGCATTTGAAGTGCCACAACACAAAGGCACCGTTTCTAAATGTATTGGGTAGATTAAATTTGTCTGATCTCTTTTTCTTGCAAGAATTTGTTGAAATACACTGTTGATTGACTTCCTTCCTTTCATGTTGGTTCAGCTACCACAGCAGGAAAACTCCTTTGATTGTGGCCTCTTTTTGCTCCATTATGTCGAGCTTTTCCTTAAGCAGGCTCTTGTTAATTTTAGTTTCTTCAGAATAAGCAAATCTTCCAACTTTGTAAGTCATCTGATCTAATTCACAAAAAAACTTGGGATTTTAGTATTGAATATTTTCATGGCTATAGTTTGAGCTCCTCCATTTTTGGTTCTCTAGAAATTGGTGATTTTGACAGTATTTGTTTACATGCTCGACATAAAATATTATCGTTGTGGTGCGTTTTTTTTATGGGAAAAGATTAATTGTTTACTAGAGAATGCTGGACATTTAGAAAGTTAGGAGTTTTAATGTCTTAAAGGTATTTAGGCTTTACACTGCCAACTATATGAACAATAGCTCAAAATTTAAGGTACTGATTTAGAATGGTGTCTTAAATTTCTGCTCTTACCATATTGTATTTTGAAATCTATTAATCCATGAGATATTCAGCTGACTCAATGTCTAACTCAAAGTATTTGCATTTAATGCATTGTCAAGGTGGAATTCTATAGTAATATTTGTGAAAACTCTTTAAGCTGTTGGAATTTCATCAAAATCTGAAGTTACGCTATTAAGCTTAAGTCAAACTACTACAAAATATCCAAATGTCCATACGCATGTGTATGCAACAAGATGCGGGAGCAATATTTTTAGGAATAGAAATTGCAGCACTAGGCAATCAGAGTACAATATTATATTGTTTATGTGTTATCTAGTAGTAGCTGAATTACTATTTAAGAAACTGTGATGGTTTTTACATTGTGCATTTGTGTTCTCCTTATTTCTCTTTGATTAAGTTGTTCTGTATGGATGAGTAAGAATACTGTTAGGATTTGATGGTCCACGGGTCTCTGGTGTTATTTTCTTTCAAATAGAAGATATGACAAAATGATTGGGGTCGTTTTATTGTTGACAAAGCCATTTTTTTTTTTTTTGGAAAAAATGCATTTTGTCCTATGTGACCACTAGCGTTTCCTTGGTTTTAGCACCCTACTTGAGGTTTATCCTTTGCTTTGCTCATTTGATTGGATTGCAACATGATCTCAACAGTATCATAGCAAAGATGACCTATTTTGTTCTCAGAAAACAGGAAGTAAAAGTTGGTGATGAAACAATTGATGGATTTATCATCTCAAAATTTGATGATTTTTTTTAGTCGAAAGTAAATTGAGTGTTGTCCAGGGATTCATGAAGGCAACCACAAATAGTATAAACCAATCACACGGTACTCACCTATTATCCATTTGCAAACGACAGTCTAAAAGATTGGAATTCTCAACCAGTTTATGATGTCTAACTAAATATTGGTGCTGTTCGTGGTAGTGATTGATTGCTTGGGCATTCTTGATCACCCCACAATTATTGACTGGAAATACAAAAGTGTTTGGCAAATGGCTGAAAGTGTTGGCAAGATAGCGTTGTTTTTCATATTTTTCAATTGAATATGTAAAACTTATGCATGCAAAACAGTATTGAGTATGCTATTTATATGTCCAAAAATCACTTCTGAACAACTGGTTTGAAACAAGTCATGAGAGCAAAATTCAGAGAGCAAGTTGACAGGTGGGTTCCAGATAAGAGGGAATTTTCTTTCAGCCAGTGGATTTTGATACAGGAGTTTTGTGACTCATTCACTTTTAGTCAAAGTAAAAATCTATGGTCGTCTTTGTTTTAGAAATTTTTTTGATAGTTATTGCTTAATCTTCTTCTGATCTCTTTTATGTGGAATTCCCTTGGAGGTTTACATATCCTTCCATTTTTTCAGCTTAAGAAAAATTGGTTCTTGGCTGAAGAGGTTTCTCATAAACGTGCTCATATCACACAACTCATATATGAGATTGTTGAGAATAATACCCAGAAAATTCCCCCGTCTACTTGCGGAGAAAAATGTTCTTTGGAATTACCTGACACAGCTGAGGGGGACACCGATGTTGAGTTTCTTCATGAGATATGCAATTCACCCAAGGCATGTCGTGACAGTTGCTTCAATTCTAACGATCAAGAGACTGATATTACACCACTAGCAGCAACCCTTCTGGAAGGTGGATCACCCACTGATGGAAATTATCAGCGTATTGGCCAAATGGTGTCAACTAATCGGTTTAAGAATGTCATTCCACCAATTGAGGTAGTTATTTTTCTATCGCTGTGCATTTACTTTGCTCTTTAAGGAAAACAATTGAATAGCTTTTGGGAGCTTAAGATCAGGGTTGTGATTGCTCCACATGTGAGTGATGAATCGACGACTAAATCCTAACAAAGAGTTGTCCTAGTTCCTTAGTTTAGCTGCCCTTCTGTTTTCGAGAAGAGGGTGTACTAGTTCTCGAGGTGAAAACTAAGAACTAAAGAACGGTTTCGAGGATTCATTCTGACTGAAACAAGGCCAACTACAACTTGATAGGAGGAAAAGGCTGTGAGGTGACCCCAAAATCCCAGCTAGTTTGGGTTGGCACTTGTCATTCTTCAATTCATTCGAAGGGGTAGGGTTTGATTTTCTTTTGCTCTCGGTTCCATCAAGGCCTTTTGAGAAAGAAGAAAGAAAGGAAGAAGTCTATAAGTCTATTTTGTTGTTTTCAAAATTTGGTCATGAGCAGCCCCGTCATCTTTGTTGAGCTCCTTCGGCCATGTTAAAAAAAAGACTTTCTAAAAAAAGGTGATTCAAGCTTATGGGATTGACTTCTTCCTTGTACAAGGACGGGCCTTAGTGAAGTAGAATCAGGAGTCGTGTCTCTTGCTCAATGCCAATTGGAAACAAAAGAACAATTTATTCACTCAATCTTCTGATATGCAAACTTGTTTGAATTTATTATAGTGATGCCGTGACACTAAATCTTAAAAAAGTAAAAAAAGAGTTTGAACCTGATTCTATCGATTTTATTTTCCATTAAATACATTTACTGGTGTGACTAGAGCTTGTATTGCATATTGGAAAATTAAGTACACCCGAGGTCTAGTAATATGCTTAAGGGGCAACTCCATCCATTATTAATTGGTTTTGAGTTGGGTGTTGTAACGTGATATTAGAAATAGGTCTTGGGTAGTTGGAGAGTCCAAGTAACTAAGTTTTGTTTCTAAATGGTCGAAACATTTGAACGTTTTCGTTTCCACGGAAACTGAAATAAATCGTTGATTCAATATCAAAATTCTTATATTTCGAGATGTTTTGAGGTGTTTCGATAAGTTTCGAGGTGTTTCGGCATGTTTCAACATATATTTTGACCAATATTACGGAAATAAATTTTCAAAATTTTCTTTGTTTCTATTCTGTTTCCAAAACATTACCGAAACGTTTCCATCTTTAAGCTCACTGAAATTATGCACCGAAACGAAATTTTGATCTTTGGGTGAGTCAAATCTATCACTCATTTGAATCTCGAGGTTTGTTTACCTGTTCGTTTTGGTTATTTGTTTATTTGTTTTTGTTCAATTGTTAACCCCCGCATTAGCCCGGGTTACATGTGAATGAGGGTATGGAAAGAGTTTTTATCCCACGTTGGAAAATTAAGTACACCTAAGGTTGATCTATATACTTGAGAGGCTATTCTATTTGTTGCCAATTGGTTTTTGATTGGATGTTTTAACATCCATAATCCCTGAATTTGCAACTTATGTCGGATTTTCTTTACTCATTGCATCTGAGCTTAAATTTTGTGATTAAATTGATATTCTTATATTTTCTTTGTTGGGTCTTCTTTCTGATAACAGGAAGCTGAAGAAACAGGGGAGCAAACGACTGCTATGTTGACAGATAAAGCAGGTTGCAGTCAAATGGCCGAAGTTACTGAATCTTCAACAAGGCCATGTTCTGTCATAGATTTGACACCGATATATATCGATACTGAGGAATATGAAAAAAGTGACAGATCTCTTGGAAAATCTCTTGGTCGAACCCTAATTTTATTGGACATACATAATGAGGAAGATCACAGACCTAAAGAATTGTTAACTTTCAATCCTGAGAGAGAGAGAGAGAGAGAGAGAATATGAATCTTCTTCAACATCAACTGACGATCTTGCAGCTTGTATAATTCAGGATACTGAAGAGGAAAATGTGATATATGATGTCAGTGAGAGTGAAAACACTCCTTCCCTCCCGGAAGGGACTTTTGCCTTATTTAATCAAGAGGCCGAATTCATAGAGGAAACTGATTGTAAGGGAAATATTATGCTACCGGTGTCCAAATTAGAAAAAACAGCAGGCTGGAAAAAGACCGAGGCTTATTCGGCTCGTTGGAAGAAGGAGATTTACTAGAAGCCTATTGGAGGATGTGGGTTAATGAACTTTATTGTAAATATTATTAGGTGGGAAAAAAAGAAGTTAATATAGGCTTGTGAAAGAGTAGGGGTGTTCACCCTACCCTACGGGTAGGAAATATGCTCTTCCGTCTTTCTACCCGATACTTTGCGGAAGAGTTTTTTCTTGACCTACCCTACCCGACAGGTGTGGTATTTGTACCCGACTTCCTATCCGATTAATCGGGTAGGAAGTCGGGTAAACAATTTTGTAACAATTAATTTTTGAATCATTTTAACAATTTAATTAAATAACATGCATTAATTTAACAACACAATAAATCAATTAACACTAAAATCTAAAACAACTACAACAAGAATTATAATAAAACACAAGAAAGTATGAACATCAATCCACCATAATTGTTACACAAATACAATAACAATTAATTTAAGTTTAAACTTTAAACCATATGAAATACATTAAAATCATAATTGCTCCACTAAGGTTTAGGATTTTATTGTGAGTAGGGTAGGGTAGGGTAGGGTAGGAATGCGGAAATGAATGGCTATTCCGCATTCCTACCGATTTTTGTGGCTAGCCGTTCAATAGGGTAGGTACGAACTTGCGGCCAATCGAAAATTTGAACACCCCTATGAAGGAGTTAGGAAGGTAAATAGAAACTGGCCTTGCTCTCCTCACGCCAAACTAGGAAAAGAGGTGGTAATGGTCCGGGGGCTTTTGCTATTTCTCCTTATTCATGCTTTTTTTTTATTTTCCCCCCGTTTGCATATTAGAGAAGGATATGTCGTGAAGTTTGTAAGTTTTAACTTGGTTGAACAAGGAACAGCTGTAAATTCACTGAATTCATGTTTTTATAGTCACACAAATTCTAGATTGAACAAATGCATCATGCTCTTGGTTTGTTGATGAGTGTATGTATTGGGACTTTGCATTGCAACAATGAGAATAAGCGATACGATGTTGGCTGGATTTTTACCCAAAAAAAAAAAATTCAATGGTAATAATGCATTAAGTTCATAAATTATGCCCTAATAGCATTAGTAGAAAATAAAATCTTAAAAAGCTAAATGGTTGTGGCAAACCAAATCTAATTAACATCTAATGGGTGACTGAAATCTCAATCATTTTGCAGAATTGGTGAGCAGTCTCTATTTTATCCGGTTCAACCTGTTTGAACATCACCTCCCTCATGTTCTAAAATGACACTTAATCCTCTTGTGATTGTTGGACTAAAATGCACTAAATTAATCGACAAGATATGATCAAAATGGTTGACATGCGTCTCTAAATCATTTTAGGTAAATTAATTCAACCCAATTTCAATTTGTTTATAGTCATGAGTAAGGGTGTCAATCGTTTTGGTTTAAATGGTTATGAGTCGGGTCTAATCAAATTCGTGTGGAAAACTAATAAATTCATACACAACTCGTTTAAATAAATGGGTAAAAATCTTCAAACTGAATAAGATTTGCTTATTAAGCTAGTTACACGACATGACTCGTTTAACCCGTTTAATAAACCAATCGAGTTGAGTAGGGTTGGAATAACACGATAAGTTGATAACCCTTTTAACCCATCATCCGTTGGACTCATTTACTTGAACATCCTCTGAAAAATTATTGTTAAACTTATTTTTAAACTGATCTATTTAATAACTACATATATTGGTCTGACTAGTTTTTTTCAAATAATTATTAATTTATTATTATATTAATTTTATTTAAATTGATGAAAAATAGGTTAGCATACCTCATTCAAACACGATCCGTTTATTAAACGGTTCTGACAAATCCATTCGTTTACCACCCAAACCCGCTTAACTTTGTGTCAATCCGTGTCGGTTAATCGTGTCGTGTTGAATTTTGACTGCCTAATTTAACATAGTTAAGGGTCCAAAGTGTAATTTACGCTCCACATAAAATTCTAGGCATTTTGAGCACAGTAATCTCTGTCCATGATTCTAAAATCCACCAACTGAAAGTACCAGTATCCTATTAGAAATGAAACAAAAAAGAGGATAATGATGTCAAGATCTGTAAATGCATGAACACATCTATAATCTTTACTCCCCATTATACTTAACAATTCCTCAATCAAACAGTTTGTTTCTGACATTTTCTTCCAATACAATGTCAAAGAAAACAACACAGAACACAAGAAAAAAAAGGCAGCAACCATATGAAACAACAGAGATGACAATCTTTGAGTCATGGATTTCCAAATTGCCTTACCAAACCCTCCCCCCTCCCCCCCACTCCTCTCCCGGTTCTCACCCCAAAAGAAAAATAATCTCTCTTCATTAATAGGCAGATCATGCTCATCCACCAAACTGCAGATAGTATTGTAGCTTTCTAATGTTTTGCTAGTACTACCATTACCTAGAATCAACTAATTATCTCACGCCTCGAATTCTTTGAACTCAACAAAGCATCAACAAAATGTACACTTGTTCTGGAGTATAATATGTACATACTTAAAACACTCTGAATCCACTGATTCCTATCAACCAAGGCTGCAAGTGCGTGCTGTTGGCGATCCAGAATGGTGTACCTCCTTTTGGGAAACTCATGAATCAGGATTCCATGCAAATAATCTCAAGTTCATAAATGACCATACTTGTATAATGGAAAGGTCTAGGTTTGTCTATCATCCGTCCAGAATTTATTTCCAGCTTGGTGATGCCCTTTCCCGATTGACTTTCAAGTGAAAATAGTTATTCATAAGCCCTATAATATGGCAAGAAACTCCTTTTTTTTTCTGGATGCCGACATGAAAATGCTGAAAACATATATTTTACTCACATTGGTCACTTATAGAGAAGTTTTTTGCTCCCTCAAAAGACAGGAAAAACAGATTCAGTACCACATTGGTGCTAGTCAGTGTTAGTGTAGCAGGGAGGTGGAACTAATGTTTTGTAATGTAGGGCATGTCCAGTGGACATGGCTCACACCTATAACAAGGACGGGAAGAAGTAAAGATTGACAGTCTTACCCCTATGTGATCTCTGACCCGACCCCCAGTTTGTTTATATTGTTAGGAAGACAAACTCACAAGAGTGGATGTCCCATTGCAAATTAGAATCTCTTTTATTTATGGAGTTCGTGGCAACTTATGTTTCTATTTTCCGTGCAAATGGTAATGCAAAATATCCACTTTGTGTGGGACAAAAAGTGATCTAGCAGAGGTGTGCTAATCCAGTATTTTGGTTTTGGTCCCTCTGGCTCCAGCAAACGAAAACCCTTTTTTCAAAACATACTATTTACGCCTTGGTACCTTTCACAAATAGAATTTAAAAAAAAATGAAACAAAATCTGAGTCTATTACAATGATCCTTGAAAAACTTTGTACTTATGCTTGGATTGAACTTGTATTGATCTTTGTTAATTAAGCACTAACATTTGGTTAATTCTAGACAACTCTTCGAGGTTTCATAGTTCAATGTCGAGCTGCAAAAATCTAATGTGAAGCCATCTTCATTGGACTTGCTTGGCAATTAAGAGTGTGCGCCATGCAAAATAATTCATTTATGTATTCTGCATAGAGCATTCCTAATTGTTTTGTGAGTTCTCCTTAGAATTTGATTTTGTCCTGTTCCTGGAATACTCAATTGATCCCACAATGCAGGTGGTTACTCTTAAACTTAACAATCTTCAAAACATTAAGTTCTTTGTAAGTCTTGAGTACTTTTGGTTAAAAATCAGAACTCACAATGCCTTTTATGTACAGCTTACTCCTATATGCTTTATCTTGTTTAAGCAGTCTTTGTTAATTATCTTCTTAATTTTGTTCTTCTCCCTGCATAATGGTAAACAACTCTAAGTCCAAGTTTTTTCTTTTTTTATAATGCAGTCCATTGATTACCTACTATATCAAAGTAGAAGGACCAGCCAGTTTCCAATGAGTAGCTCATCAGTTGAATGAATTAGAAAATATTGACACAAGGAAAAAAAGCCTCGGACAGAAGGAAGTGAAAATATGGAGAACAACAACATCAGCAAAAATGTGAAATCCGGGACTACACCTCTTGGAACATCCTCTCTGACAGTAGCTCAGGAGCAAAATTGTCAGTATAGCAATGGATCGATGTTCTTACATGGATGAAGTGCCTATGTGGTTTCATTGATTAAGAGTCCATCATAAGTAACGAACAGCAGTTTTATATTGATGAGCTAGTTTCTATTCTGATATATTAACTCAAGATTATACTATTGAAAGCTGGGGTATAGGCAAAAGTTTATGCATTGGAAGATTTGTGATCAGTTTCTGAAGGCATCTCACTTTTAAATTGCTTAGTTCTTTTCAAAGCTGGCCTTTAAGTGTTTCATTACTTTTGTCTATATTTGTCACTGCCACAAATCCATTATTTCTACTTATACAGTATTTAAGTCCCAGTGCTTGCTTTTAAATTTCTTGTGCCGAGCTCTTATTATTTACTAGGCTACTAGCTCTAGGGTTCTTACCTTTCAATTTATTAGAGGCCTTATTGCCTCTTCCTTTTCCTTTGGAGAAGTCAAAGGTCTTGATTTTCTTTAGTATCCGGAAGAAGTTAGTAAAGTATGATTTGAAAGCTTCACCTACCTGCCAAAATACATGTACAAGCAGCTAATGTTATTATCAAAGACACATTTGTACTCACCCAAAAAAATGACACAGCTATGTGTCAGAATAAATATTTCTTCATGCAAAGAGCTAATTGTGCTTCAATCTCAAATTCCAAATAAGTTGGAAGGTATCTTATGGCAGTCCACTCATCAGATTTATTTAGTTTCTTTGAGTCCTGCATATATTCCTTCTTTCACTTGGTTTCCAATTCCATCGGGTTGGTTTCCACTGGCCTTCCCCCCACCCCTGCCCAAAAAAAAAATCCCTCTTGCATCAGTAGGCAGGCCATTCACTCACATAACAGACACATTAGTGTAGCTTTCTAATGGTTTTCTAGATCGACCACTACTCTAAAAAACTGATTATAAGATACCTCGAATCCTTTGAACTCAACCAAGCAACAACAAAATGGAGATGTGTTCTGAAGAAAAATAAGTAATGGTCCGCAGAGCACTTGTGAAACAATGAGGAATGCTTTATGCAGCACATACATATATTTTTTTGGTCAATATATGCAGGACATATAAATGAATTGTTTTGCACTGGCCAACACTCTGATGTGTAAATCAAGTCACAGAGATGGTCTGAAATTAGAGTTCACAATGAAAATCCATTCAATTACAAAACCTCTTGTAGAATTAACCTAATCTAAATGGTTAATCAATGCAGATCAATAAACTTCAATCCCAACGAAACTATCAGTACATAATTTTTCAATCTCATGGGTGGTTTAAGGTGTGGGTAATTGAGTTGTTGTGGGAACTGACTATGGAGACTAAATTATTAGAAAATCCTGCTCCAAAAGATTCAGAGTTGAAGGCAGCAGAACGCTAATGGAGATATAAACCTCTTAACTCTGTAGCTGAACTTACTTCCACCCATGCAGCAGAGAGGAGAAAGCCCCTCCCACCCTTGCAAAAGTATTATTATGCATGACTCAAAGAACTTCAAAAGTAGGCACCATGACTTAAAAGAACTTTAAAAGTAGGCACCATGACTCAAAATCATATAAATTTATTTATTTATTTTTTTAGAGAAGGAGGACGGTATCTCCGAAATTTATTAAATCACCCTCACTTGTGGCGGAGGAATACCGTGGTTACATAATAGGTAATGCAACTGTCACATAAACTACCTAGTTCATCAATTTAAAGCTGCTAGTTCTACAAACCATAATAGAAACTATGTCCCAAGTTTTAACCATAATAGAATCTTGAGTTAAAAATACATAAAAATGGAAACTAGTTCATGAATTTAAAGTAGCTGTTAATTGTCTCAGGTCTTCATGCACAGTAGGTAAACATCCCCTCTAAGTCTAAGCACATATTGCTCTGAAGATTGTGTGTGTCTTCATCATACATCATGACTCCACTCCGAGATTGAGTGTCAACGGCAATGTTCCAAGAGCTATGTTTCTGGATTCCAAATTATCACTCATCAAGTCTTCAGGCAAACCCCTTCTCCATTCCTCCATGTCAAAGCACAGATCGCTTTGAAGAATATGTATCCCTTTGTCGTATATTCGATGACTCCTCCATATTAGAACACAAAATGCTTTGAAAAATCTGTGTCTCTTTGTCGGATTTTGATCCGGATGGAAGTGTTCCAAGAGGCATGGTTCTATATGCCACATTGTCCATATTCCTCAGGTTTTCAGGCAGTCCGGGTATCTGTTCCTCCATGTTTGTACCTGCAGTGCCCCCAAGAAACTGTGTGTGGTGGTATATCGTAGATTCCGGTCCAGAACTCATGGTCCTAGATTCTGCAATGTCAATCACGGGGTCTTCAGGCAAACCGCTTCTCCAATCCTCCATGCCACAACATACATTGCCCAAGTCAATCACGGGGTCTTCAGGCAAATGTGCTTCTCCAATCCTCCATGCCGCAACACCCATTGCCTAGAAGAATATGTCTGTACTGGTTGTGGATGGATGATTCAGCTTCCAAACTGATAGGCAACGGCGATGTTCCAAGAGGGATGGTTGCAGATTCCAAGTTGTGAAGCATCAGGTCCTCAGGGAACCAGCCACATTGTCAATCTCAAACATCAGGTCTTCAGGATCAAAACAAAGATTGCTATCAAGGGTGTCTGCCACCTCCCCATAAATTGGTACCAAACCAGTTATCAGGTTTTCTATATGCTCACAGCCATCTAACCGAGGCCTTTTTTGCCTGCTGCTGTTGATCTTGTTCATCCTGCGTTCTGCTGGGGTTTTGGCAAACAGGTGCCACAGTTGGTGTGTGATCCAGCCTTTTAATCCTGCATAGTACATAATCCTGAGGAGAAGAGATACTGTATTCTTTCATGAGCCATCGACCATGTTGGGTCGATCCTAGATTCTCGTACCTTAAACTTCTCTTGTATCCAATAACTTTTCCTTCACGGTTTTGAATGGGTTTGCCTTTGTCTTGACCTTTCCACGAACCCTTCCCCTTCCCAACCGTGCGAGCAAATCGTTCCCCTTGGCCGTCTTCTTCTTCAGCTCCGTGAAGAAGTAACGGCACTTCTCTTCGCTATTCCAAATATCTCCCATGGCTCCATGTCTCCATAAAGATCATCTATGGTCACAAAACGTTCGTATAAGGATGGATTGTGGCTGATCATATAGCCAAGTATATAAGTCAATTCTTGGTCAGTGGGGTGGAATCTCAAACCCACCAAGATGCTGCCATCTCTGTTGATTCCATCAGGTTAATTTTCTGGCGTTTCTGGTTGTTTTCACAGCAAGAAAAGAAAAGAAAACGTGAGAACCAAACTGTTTGACTGAGAAAAGTGTGAAGTATAATGGAGAGTGATAAAGTAGGATCAACTGCAGTGCAGTGGTGTACGTGTATATATACAAGTAAGGGTCTATCTCAATTCTCAAACTCTAAGTATTGGATTAGGAGTAAGATATATATAGTTGTGTGCATTACAAAGTCTCTTAAAAATTTAAGGCTGCTGGAAAGTTTCATTGCAATGTGATATCAAGGTGTGTGATTGGCTGCTACACAGAATTGCAAGTTCAATACAATAATATCTTCTTTGTGTTTGATATAGAGTAGGATA